ATAAACCCTCTGGCTTTTCCTCTTTTGTAACCCGCCCTACCCTAACACCCTTTCGGGATTAGCAATTGCCGTGAATGTTTGATTTATATTAAATAGTAACTAAAAAGATATGTTTTATGTATTATAAGCTAAAATAAAATTAGATAATAATAATTAGTATATAAAATTCAATGTTCTTACTGTTTTCAGTGAATATAAAAATTTTTTAAAAATATTTTATTTTTCTTATATTTAAAAACACTTTTATTAAACATTATATATATTCTTTGTATAAACATAATTTTGTATATAATATTTTTATAAAAATATACTGTATATAATTACAGCCTAACCTCTTTATAATCACATAGTTGGGATAATAGTAACTTTTTTAAAAAATATGCTTATAATAAAATTGTGCTTATATAGAGGTTTTTTCTATATATTTATAGTACTTTTTTTAACAAAATTAGATGCTTATATAGAGGTGTGATTATATAAGAAGTGACTATAGAGAGGTTAGACTGTATTGACTTATTGGTGCAATATCTGAATAATTTAAGATATTTTATACCATAATAGAGTGCAACAAATATAATTTACTGGCAAATTTACAGTAAGTTAAGTAATATATTTAGTATCTGGTTAAATAATATTTTTATAACTTTTAGAATTTTTATATTTGCATATTTTTTTCTATATTGACATGTGTACAATAAAATAATACAAAAAATTATTCTGGAATCCTGTTTGATGAAAAATTTTTATTTAAAAATTTTATATTTGAAAACAATTTTTATTAAAATTTAAGATTATTATTATAAAAAAAAATATTCTCTATTGAAAAAATTATTTTTTTTTTAGAGAACAAATTTTATGTTTGAAAACATAAATTAATATTTGAATTTACACACTGATAATAATCTAGTTGTTCTGAGTAGCAATAGTTAATCTGGTTAAAAGACCTTTTTAAAAGCATTTTAGCAATTTAAAAAATTTTATCGGTACTTTTCGAACGTACGTACGTACATACGGTCAAAACAAAACCACATGACACAAATTTGATCGTCGGAATACATTAATAACAACATTATACGCAGTTTTTTTTAACTGCTAAAAATTTGTCTGGATAATAATACCTTTAAAGTTAGGCAGAATGCGTAATGAAACAGAATCTCAGGTTGGAAGTAGTGTTATTCATAATTTTACGTGGATTATACCAAATTTTAAAAAGATAGAAGCATTAGCTCCAAGGCCTCAATGCTTTCATAGTCCTCAATGGACCTGCAACATCTGTGTGTTCGATGACAACGGGTGCTCCTACATACCTTTAAATTGGAGACTAAAATTTCATCCTAACGGCAATAGCGAAAGTTCCCAAAATAGCATCAGTTGCTATTTAGAAACTATATTTCCGATTGACGCACAGCCTTCTTCACGAATCAATGTTAATTTCTATATTGGCTTTTATGTTCCTGTTCAACAAGGGGAAAACCGAATCTTGAAATTAGTAAAACGTCGTAGGTAAGTTAGTTAATATAGAATATCTAACCGATAATCTATATATTTTTAGAGGTACAAAATTTGAATAATCAATTGTAAAATTTTTTTTTATGATATAGTGAACGTCATGAATTCTTAAAGGTAAAACCGGCTTGGGGATGGCCAAGTTTTTGTTCAAAAACAGTTCTAAACTGTGAAGGAAATAATAATGTTAATAATACAGAAGAGCCTGAAATACTATTACCAGAAATGATTCAGCAGACAGCGAGTGCTTTGGAAGACGATACTCTTGTTGTTCATGTTGTGATAATCACGCCGAACCCAGGCGGTGTCCCGGATGAATTAGAGGAGTCAATGGCGCGATTAACATTTAATACGCGAACAGCTTGGACGGCATTTTCACAGACTTTAAATACATCAAATTTTAGTGACATTAAATTCTTGGTTGAAGGACGAACAATTCTTGCACATCAAGTTATATTGGCGGAAAGATCTCATTACTTTAAAACATTAATAAAGAATGACTGGACGCAAGAAATCAAAGAAACAAAACCAGTACATATTCAGGACGTAGATTATAATACATTTTATTACGTTCTACATTATTTATATTCTGGTACTTTACTGGAAATTACAGGAGACACGATTTCAGCCAAGATTGCACAGCTTCGAAAAATATTTATCGATGCAGAAATGCGTAAAACACTTGAAGTGGACGCTATACATGAGCTTGTTGAGGTTGTTATTTCTGAATTAATTAATTTGATAAACATGAACACTTGGGATAGTTTACTTTTATTTGCGTGGGAACGTGACATTGTACGCTTACGGAAAGCAGTTTATCGGTTTGCGAAACGAAACTGGACAGAACTTCGGAAAAGTGAATCTTTTAAAAATATTTTACAAGACGCAAATGTTGATGTGGTAGAAGATCTCATTACATCAGTCAAGACATGAATCCTCTATCTGTAATATTTTGAAATTTTGATTCTAGGAACTCGTTAATCATACCAGATAGTTCTTGTAAAACCGAATTTACTGTATGCAGGTCAAAGTTTTATTATATAATGTATATTACCAATACTGACTATGTTTAATGTTTTTTTTCTTATCATTAATTTTTGAATGGCTTTTTCTTTTCCTTTTTTTTTTTTTTTTTGCCATTATATAAGTGTATTGATAATTGCATGAGGATGTGCATAAAAAAAAAAAAACCAATTATATTTTACTTGATTATTAGATGTTCTAACGACAATTAAATAGAGATTGTATCCAATGCATTATCAATCAATACGCACTTCAAACTCTAAAAAGAATTTTTTCCAAACTTGTGTAAACATGATCTTAAATTCAGAATCTTTTTCTTTACGCTGATCAAGATTTTCATATTTTTCTTTGAATATGAACCATTCTTGCTGTAGCAAGTTGGTGACAGATCTGTTTTCGTCTCCAAATTGCTGGTGTAGTAACTCCCAGTGGTGAAGTAAGTTTTTGAGTCTTTGATAAACATCATTTAATTGCGAATCATAAAATCTTTTTGGATAAGATAATAAATTGTCATGCATATGTTGTTGTTCTTGTCGTGTACATTGAATTAACATCTGTGAATAGATCTCAAAAAATGGTTGATGCATAAAAGAAAGCCGAGATAATAACCAAGGATGCAATTGCCAGACACCAGATTCTAAGGAATTTGTTAAACTTAATAATTGTCGACTAGTGTCGATGTTAACGAATGAAGTGATCCAATTCAGTAAAATACGATTCAATTCAGATGAAGTTTGTAAATTCCCTTCACTCGGCTGAAAAGAAAATATCGCAGCATGGAATATGATCTCCTAATAAAAATGTCTTCAAATATAACATAAGCAAAGTAGGGTTGTAAAAAAGGGTTGACATATAGATGCTAAGTCACCTCACCATTCCATCAGATGATTGAGTTGAATGATGATGTAAAATATTTTTAATTTGATCAATGCCATTAGAATCAATTTGCCCATCATCAAAGAATTTGTCGAGATCTTTTAAGAGTAATCTAGCCGCAGCACGTCTTGTGGTGGTTGTATGTAAAAGTTTATAGGAATATTCATGTTTCAATGCAGTCATACCTATAATATAAAAATAATTACGTACAGAAATTTTAATTATTTCATTGCAAAAATTTTGAACCTTACTTTTTTGTGGTTTTATCTGAGATAATCCCTCTAATAAAGTAGTTTGAATTCCGGCTAGGACATCGGCCATAGCTAAAGGCTTGGCGAACATTTGTACATCCTATAATTAAATCTACATTTAAGTGATAATTTTATAATAAAAATAAGCATTTAATACTCGTACCTCAGCAATATTTTCTTGTTTTGAAAAAAGACCATAATTTAAAAACTCATAAGTATTTAAAACATGAAAGTATAAATCACTTGGTAAATAAATGTTTCTTAATAAGGCTCTATAAAATAAATGGTAAGCACACTGAAATTCGGTTAAAGGTGGAGGCAGAACGCGATTTTCAGTTTTTGCTTTTGAAATGAGTTTTTTATATAAAAGTTCAGCATCTTCATCGGATATCATAAATAAGGCATTCTCGACGTCGAAAGCACATTGAATAGAATTTTGTAAATATTCAATATTCCATTGACTTACAAGAGAAGTTTTTGCGATATTATAAATTTCGGAAAATTTTAAAAGTTGATTAAACAAATTTTCGTTCATTGTATTAAGTGTTCTACATTACATGTATAATGGTTTAAGTTTTTTCACCGATTTTCATTCACTTTCTCGCGTTCGTGTAACATTCTAATCTTGTAATTTTGTTGGTCGATCAAGAGACAACCTATTTTTTTTAAAAGGTAATGATAAATCATATAACGATAACGATAAATGTTTTGAACTGCTCTACCCCGAAGTTCCTGATCAAAGGTCGCCCTTAATTTTATTTTAATTTCGAATATTAGATATCATTGTTAAGTCCAGATTTTATAATTTGGGGATAGGCGAAGTATGGTTTAGAGTCAGTCTATTTACAGTTGTTTTCATTAATTTTGGGACTTTTGTTAAAAAATTAACCGAATGATTATTTGGCCGATTCGATAAAACTTTTGATTTGGACGTGATTAGTAATATAGCGATAATGATATATATTTTTTGCGATTGTATTCTGAAATGTCAACACATCCAAAATTAATTTGAATGTATGTTCAGTATATGCATCTAAAATAGTACTAGCGATATCACGAATACAGCCAAACTAAATTCGATAAAATTTGTCTTATTTTTTATTCTATAAACATATAGAATTAAAGTAGATTGAATTTGATTATGTGGTTGTCGTAATATCGCTAGTGCTATTTTAGATGCTAGAAATAGCTGGACACTCTGGTTTGGTGTGTTTAGTCTGTACGAAAATTTATGACGATGATTGTTCTTGTCAAGCAACAGATTTGACAAAAAAACAAAAAGGGTTTTGAATTTAAGATAAGTTTTCATAATAAATGTATTACACAAGGAGGCAGGTTGATCTAAGCTTGTTCGTCTATAGTAAACATTTTTAAAAATGCCTAGTTTATCTGAAATAATTGTTATTTAATTTGAAATATCCAACTTGTCTGAAGTAATAGCAACTGAATCTAGTATAATCTGAAGCGCAAAAATAGTGATATCGATATACATTATCTCTGTCATTAGAAAGATATGCACATTACGCAATCGCACATTACGCAATCGCACATTACCGAAATCAAAATCGGCCAAACAATCATTCGGTCGATTTTTTACCAGATGTCCCAAATTAATGAAAACAGCTGTAAAATTCTCTCGATATAGTGAATTATTGATAATATTTCGATAGATAAAAAGAAGAGTAAATGTATAATTCTTTATTATACAGTACTAGATTCTAGTTATATCCTGGGCAGTTGGGTATAACTATTACAAATCTTGTAAGCTGCATAAAAATACCGTAACTATAACATAATTATAGGTAATTCTTTAAAATTTAAATAAACTACGTATCTGGTATGTACGTACGTACGTAATTTATTGCAATCACAAATTTTTAATAAACATATATTTGCATTCGTAACTTGTAATTGGATAGAACACAAATTGAATTATACTTGCTTTCATAACATACAAAATTGAATTAAATTTGCTTTGTGTAACTCGCTATTTGAAGTAATTTGTTTTTGTAACTCGTAATTTATAAAATTTAGCAATGAATTAATTACTCGAATTACTCAGACAAAACTTGAATAAATAATTCAGTCAAATGATTCGAGCACTCTTCTGAGTTTAATTCGTGAGTCACAAGTTTATACGAGTCCAGTCACTAATACAGTACAGTCAGATTAAATGCATAGTCTATGAAAGACCTCTCTAAATGCATGACCTTATTTGGCCCCAACTCATATAACACTTACAGATTTTTACCTCCCTAAATGCAATACCTCTCTAAATGCAGGATTTTTTGATCGTCCCATGACTATGCATTTAGAGAGATCTGGCTCAGGGCCAGTGGATTTTAATAGAAAAATAGCACTGGCGATATCATGACAACCACATAACCAAATCTGACCGAAATTGTTTTATTTTAATTCTATAGATATATAGAATTAAAATAAAACAATTTCGGTCAGATTTGGTTATGTGGTTGTCATGATATCGCCAGTGCTATTTTTGCTACTATTAAAATCCACTGGCTCTGATCTGACTGTATATACAGTATGTTGTAAAAGAAGAAATCTCTCATTTAAAATGTAAGATAGCACTGTATATCATAAAATAATCAAATAATGTTTATTAGACAAACGTGTTTGCATCAAATTATTTATGTTTTTTTGAAGGTAATTAAAGTTTCTCTCTGTATATATACAGTATTTCATAAGTGTAAATACATTATATTAAATTCAAAGTTTTTTAATGTAAACAAAATAGACATACAGAATTTATATTTACTACATTAAATTAATAATTTCTAATTCAACATTTAAACAGATCTTTAGAGGACCCTGAATAATTCTAAGAAAGGTTACTACTGGACCCAAAATATACTAACGGAGGCTATATTGGAATTTCTGACACTTCTCTTGAATGTTGATTGACTAAAATTTTTTAACCAATCAGATTTGTCAAAATTTTGTTAACCATTTAACGCTTTAAAAAAACTCGTTCATAATTGTGAAACGCAATTTTACCCGATTTGCGTTTTTGTCCCTACTTGCTTA